TTTGAAATTTCCAAAATCTTTCTCATGAGATGTAAATTAAATGCAAATTCAAATTTTAACATTGTCTCCAATAAAATATCTACATTACCTTTTGTTCCAGAACTGTAGTATCAGCAGCAATCACCTCAACAACATCAACAATAATAAATGAAAATATGATAATCAAGTTAATTAAAAAGATTAAGAGTAGTTTCTTAATTTAGACATCGTCTGCATAATATTTCACCAACACTGAGTCCTTCAAGAATTTTGAGTCTTTGTTTTTCTCAAATAAGATCACATCGTTTAGCTGATCTTCCAACAATATTAATCAATCTATGTAATGAAGTGAAAAAAGCTTCAATTTTCAAATGTTTTTGTGCTACAACTATGAGAGCTAGTTGAAATTGACGAGCAAAGCAATGATTATAGTAATCACTTAAATTTTCTTTCAAAAGATGTGATTTGAGACCATTATACTTACCTCGCATATTACTAGCTCCATCATATCATTGACCTCTCAAATTAGATATAGTTAAGTTATGCGTGGAGAATAATTGATCAATTGAGTCTTAATTGCAATAGTTGTGGCACTCGAAATGTGCGTGACATCAATAAAATGTTCCAATACACTCCCATTCTCCACATAACGACTGACAACTGACATTTGCTCCTTCATTGAAATATTTTGAGATTCATCAACTAGCATGGAATACAAGTTATGCCCAATATCTTTGATAATCACATTTAAAATTTTGAATGAATATATCACTCATAATATATTTCTGAACTTGTGGTGATGTTAATATTTGATTTTCAGGTGTATTTGTCAAAGCAACAACTTTAATCTCAACATTATGATCACACAACCAATGCTATTGTTCAAGAAAGTTCCCTTTATTGTTTGAATATTTAGATTCATCATGTCCACGAAAGGCCATCTCTTTTCGTAGAAGAAATTGAACACAATCAATTGATGCATTCAAACAAATTCTATACTCTGTTCGAACTTGATGTGATTGCTTAAAGAGACAGAATTGAATGCTTTGTCCTTGATTCTTGAATGATTCATATTAGATCTGAACCTGATTGTGTGCACCACTTGATGCCCAAATGTGCTTTCTAATATTCCTTATTTTTTTAATTTGAGAACCTGCCATTCACAAATGAAACATCACTTGAGCTGAAAAGATATCAATAGAAGTAAAATACAACATATGTTGCTATATTGTATTCCAACCAATTAGGATGCTCATTATATCATGAAGCATAAAATTACCTTATCTTTGTTAGCCGTTCTTGTGGGTGGAAATTCATGATTGCAAGGCGAACATTGACCTCTTTGCACATATGCTCTTCAAATTACATATCGAATATTAGCATCATAATTTTGTATTGGAACTCTCAATCCAGAATTCAAAGGAAACTGTGCAACATTAACTTCAAGCCTTTCATTCCCAACATCCTTGACATTAGTTTCAATCGGGATATCTCCAAGATTAGTTTATCAATTTCATTTATTTCATCACTTTTGTCATCATTTTTATCCCCAACATCATTTTCATCCCTTATATCTCGAACATTTCTTTCATTAATATTTTGCTCATCGCAAGGAAGCACAAATTTATATTTAAAGTACTTTTCTTCAAGTGAAAAAATAGTCATTCTATCAATAATCACAAAAATAAATCTCACTATTGCCTAAAAGTTTAAGGGTCTGTTCTCTTTACCATTTTCAAGCCGTTTTCTGTTTTTAATTTTTCAAAACAGTGAAAATGCATTCTCTTTCCTATTTTCGAAAACGCGTTTTTGAAAACAAGTTAAAGATTTATAAAGAAAACTCAAAACGACAAATTGGGCGTTTTCAGTTATAATTAAGTCAAAATTTTCAAAATGCGTTTTGGGTGTTTTCAAAATGCCAAAAAGAACACATTTTCAATAATCTCAAAATGGACACTCAAAACACAAAATCCAAAATGAATTCAAAAATCAAAATACAACCCCTAAGTTACTAAGGAAATCGATTTCACAAATCACGATCCCCTAATAACGCTGCATCTATTTTGAATTTTTGATGAAGTCTTCAATTAAATGTCACAAATCAATTATCCATCACATATTTACAATTGACAAATCACAAATTAAAAAAAAAAAAAAATCAGAAATTCACATATTACATATATCACAAAAATCAGAAATTTACTGAAACCATAGGACGGAAAGTAAAATTAGAACAATGTACTAACCTTAACACTCTGGCGGACGACGGTGGATGATTGGAAGCAAGTAGCAACACAATGGCATGAGGTAGCGCAAGAGCGGCAGCACCAAGTATATATTTCAACTAACAATTTTTTTAATAATGCAGGAAAGTGAAGGAAGAAAGGTATTAGTTACGGAATGCATCACAGAAAATGCATTTTCAATGATTTTCAATACGAATATATTCCAATTAAACACTTTAATTTTTCCCATAGAAACACCGAATATTTTTCAATATACAAGTAAAATAGGAAACCCTAGAAATCAAAGAGAATAAGAAATTGAAATAGCATTCTTCAACAACCAGATATTTTTATTAAAACATGCAATCATGCACATACGACTAGCTAAAAAAATCTATTAAAAATTGTGGAAAAACACGATTAATTTTCTTAATTTCCAAGTGTATAAGCCATAGCCAGTAGCACTCGCGACTCGATCGTTTGTTGCTTTGCCGTTTGCAGCTGTTGAATTGTCAATAGGGGAGTTAAGGTTAGGAACTATTGACAAGGACATACCGAATTCCTTGATTTTGCTTCAAAGTTTGGAATTGGTAGCCGCCGAGCCGAGAGGTTTCTCTTGTGATGGGATTGAATTGAGAGTGGACGGTTTTTTGCATTAGATTTCAGTTTGGTAATAGCCAATGGGAGGTTCTTTGAATTGGAATTTGGACGGGTTAGTGGTTCTTTGAATACCCCATTTTTCATTTTCAAATATATTTAAAAAATTCCCTTTTCAATTGGTGGGTCATGCGATCTAACGAGACCCATAGTGGGTCCACCACTAATCTCAGGGTGGGTAGACCACCATCCCTAGTGTAACAGCCAAATGAAAGTTTTGGCTTCTGTTTGTTATAAATGATGTATAAATTCAATCAAAATCAAATATTAATTTCAACCACAAGTTAATAACTAATACTCTTCAATCGAGGAAAACTTTATATATGCCTCTCCAGCAGCTTTCCCATTAGAAAGCAATGCGTTCTAGATCTTATAATCTTTCACGTGGAAATCTACAAAAGTTTCACAACATTGGATTTTTTGACAAAGCACGGAGCCCATGCAAATTCAAGATCTCTGGGTTACCTCTTACGTTGAGATGGAGGTGAGGTTCTGTGGTAGTCGATGCTTCCCTAAGCTCCTTAATTAACCCCAGTTACTATAGCATGGTAATACTTTAGCCTTTTGCACCTAAAAACTTTAACACACATGCTTCTCAGGTTTTTATCGATCTCTGTGAAGAGCAAAGGCCAAAAAACCTTTTCAAGAAAATATCCCAACTTTGTTATCCAAGAAGATATCCACAATATCCAGTTTAGCAAAAAACTTGAAAATGTCAATATTTGAGCAGTTGAAGGGAAAACCCTTTAAATGAACCACGAGAATCTACTACCACAACCATAAGGTTGTTAGCAAAACAAGATATGGTCAAGTCGATAACTGGGAAATGAAAATGTAGTGCTATTATTATTACATCTAAAAGATTTTTCATTAGAACTAAAGTCTCGCCAAACAAGGTGAATAGTTTGTCCCTTGTGTTCTCTATTGTCCTATGTATACCAATTTGCAATAAAACCTACACAATTAGTATCCTAACTTACATGAGTATGACCAATTCACCTTGTCTTGGTTGGTAGAGAATTCAAGGACCGGTATCTTCCCTCTCATGTACTATCCCTCAGCAAAGAAAGAAAAAAATCCACGAGTACATGCCCATTATACATATGCTTCAAACTAAAGTTTCTTGCTTCCTCTCTATCTTAGGTCTTGAACAAACAATTCTTCAAACAACATCCGTGTGGGAGAAACAAGTCATATACATGAATCGAGCACAAAAACTCAAACAACATCAAATACATGAACCGACATTAATGCTAAACAATGAAAATAAAAGGCAAAATTGTACAGCAATTTCAAAGATGTTATTCTAATTTTACATCTAAATAAAAAAAAAATCTGCAAATGAAATTGCATATAGAACTCTACTTTCAACCAGCAATTCCAAAAAAATATCCAAAATTCTTTTTACTGATTTCAATTTTAGAACTAGTCCATATGGAGATTAAAAATATAAAGAGTTATATCTTAAAAATGTTTTTCCTTTCTCCTTGGCGAAGGCTCTAAAGGTGCTTTTGCAGTTACATGGATCTGCCCTTCCATTCCATCTAATACGTCATTCACCATTTCAACTTATTTGAATCAAACACAAAACATGATTACGATTTTATACTTCTATGGCTCATCGGGATTTAATGAATAATTACTAGTGAGGGAAATCATTAATTGTAAAAAAGAAATCACAAATGAACTTCATGCACAAACGGTAAAAAATTATTTACCCTCTGCACATGATCCCAACTTCAAATTGACTCAAAATACAACTCTAACCAGAAAGCACATGTTGGGATTACATAAATATCCTTTGGAATCCCTTTAAATCGAATCCAATATAAGACACACTTGACTTGGAAAAAGCCCTTAATAATCAAATATCTCCAACGATTCTTTTATAACAAACTTCTTATCCAAGTTAAAATATGAGAACTCAACCAATTTGAAATTCCCGCCTTAAACTAAATCTCTCTTTTCTTGACTTCTATGTATCCATTATATTACTCTTCTTTCAATCTCTGTTTCAGTTACATTACTCTCGTCTCAATCTTGATTTCTCTCTGTTTCATTCTCGTTTCACTGTAATATTTCACAATTTTAATCTGAATCTTAGAATATACATACTTTACATACAAAAAGATCATAATCATGGCAGATGAATATGGTGAATCGGACGATCATTCCAGACCTGAAACAAAAAAAATCAAGAAAGATGCGTTGATGGCCAAGAAAAAGGTATTCTTGACAGGAAAATAATGTTTAAAGAAGAAGACAATGAAATTATTTGTTTTGTAAGATGTGAAGGCTTGCACTGTGATATGAGGCCCTGACGGGAAAATCGAAACGTGGCCTGAGAATTGAAGCGATGTAAGGGAGTTGATAGATTTGTACAAAAACAAATTTAAGTATTTTCATGATTAGTGTTTATTGTGACTGGAGATCCCTTTTTATTCATGTTCCATTACGTTCTTCCTGGAATTCATCTACTAGTCTGCAACCGTGAAGATCAAATGTATAGTTTTTGTTTATATCCATCAATCATTGGCATCTATGAACGCATGATGTACCTATATAAATGGTAGTATTTTGATCTTTAGCGTAACTGCATCCATTTTCTTGCAAAGATGGAATATCTTGGTAAAATCTTGAAACATATTTTTGACTTGTGCAGGGTGTTCCTTTATTAAATATGTTACTTCTGAAGACGCTGATGAACTTGATTATTCCTTTCGCCTATCCAGCATTTGAACTTGGAAACCCATGGAGTAATGACATTACTCCTAATGCATGGCTTCCAAAAAGTTCACAAAATCTACTCTCACATTCTAATGTTGGCACGTTTGAGTTTGGAAATCAATTGCTTAGGGATATTTTGTCTTCAACTCCTGTAAGAGCAATGACCATTTATGATATTACACATTGTGCTGCTTATTTTTCACCACTATTTGGATGTTTCTTAAATCTTATTTTACGCACACAAACGTTCAGGGCTTTATTTGTGACTTTCCTGGCAATGTTGATGGTATGCATTTGGGATCTGTGGTTTCTTCTAGGGTTTTCAATCAGGACAATACTTGCCATCTTCTTTGCAACTACAATCTTCGAATGCAGCATCTTTCTCCACAACAAAAAGTTTTCATATGCCATACTCTGCTGGTAATACTCTTTTCGGTCAAGCTCCACAAACGCAACAGCTTCTTGGTTTTAGTTGGTAGTCAACAATATTAAAGGAAACAGATCTTCATATACCGGCATAAAAGGAAATTGCCGTCTGTAATGATTTGTAATTATTATTGCCATATTATTGTTTATTCTATTCCTTATGTAATTGACTAGAGTTAGGAAAGATAACACTAGATATGTAGAGATCTTGTATTGATGTAATCATTCACAAGCAGTAAAACACGGTTCTTTTTCCTCTCTCCCAAAACACCAAAGCATTACTATTCTAGGAAATAATTTCTGCTGCAACAGTGAAGAATGAAAGCACGAAATCACCTACAACCAAGGAAGAAGGAACTTCAAAATCTGAGATAACAACCAACCAATTGGATCCACTCACTTTACACCACTTCGATCATCCCGGCCTGGTTTTGGTCTCCAAACCACTCGAAGGAACTATGGATAATGGAGTCGTGCAATGTGAATAGCTCTAAGTGCTCAGAACAAAATGGGATAGTAGAGGCACTACTCAAGACCGATGACACGTTTCCGATATGAGAGTGTTGCAACCACATGGTACTTTCTTTGATCCTTAACTCCGTACAACCAGATATTGCCAGCAACATCATATATGTTGAATCTGCAGTTGATGTGTAGAATGACCTACATGAAAGATTCTCACAAGGGAATGATACCCCATCTATCAAATCCGCCAAGAAATTGCAGAACACCAACAAGGACTCCAATGTGTATCAATATTCTATACCAAGTTGAAAGCTCTTTGAGATGAACTAGCCTCATACCATGAACTAATTGCCTACAATTGTGGGGGCCTAAAAAATTTGCTGAAAGAGAAGAGAATGAGAGAGTCATGCAATTTCTTATGGGGTTGAATGGCTCATTTTCCACGGTTTGTGGTTCTATACTTATGATGAATCGTCTCCCTAATACTCGAAAAGTCCATTCCCTCATTAAGCAACATGAGAGACAAACCGAAGTAGTAGCCAACTGAGAACTCACTGGGCAACACAATGTCAATTGGACTGGATAGAAAATGCAAAATTGGACATCCATCCGCCTCAACCGAACTTCTGACTCCTCAGAAGATCGACACTGCTCTCATTGCAATATGAATAGCCGCAACATTGATCGTTGCTTCTTCCTTCATGGGTTCCCTCCTGGACATAAATTCGATGGCAAACAAATCAAACCGAGAGGAAAGAAATCCACTAATTCTTTAGTCATTTCCAATACAGAGACAAAACAAACAAAGAAATTCACTGGGAAAGAGTACAACCAAATCATGGCATTTCTTCACAAAGAGACCAGTAACACCAACTCTTTTATAAACACTTCAGCTACTCAATCCTCTTTTACCTATACAAATAACATGTGGATCATTGATAGTGGGGCTACCGACCACATATCTAAGGACCCACAGATTGACAATAAAATTACATCTAAGCATGCTACTGTGCAATTGCCAAACGGAGGACATGTTGAGAATAAATCTATTGGGTCCATGAAGCTGTGCAATAATATGGTCATTGATGATGTGCCACATGTTCCAAAATTCAAAGTGAATTTACTTTCAATTAGCAAACTTACACAAGCCTTAGGTTGCAATGTGACATTCTATCCTGATCTTTATGTTGTGCAGGATTTAACTACGAAGAAAACGATTGGACTAGGCAGGCAGAATAATGGTCTCTATTACCTCACACTGAACTAAAGTCCACATCTATCCAATACTGTTCACCACACTTCCGAAATTTGGCATAGGCATCTTGAACATCTCTTAACTCCTTCACTTCAACTACAGTCCAAATACATTCCAGAAATTTGTTTTAATTCTAATAATGTTTGCAATGCATGTCATTTAGCAGAACAATCTTGTTTGCCATTTTCCACTAGTACCATTTCTAGTCAAGGACCTTTTGATTTAATGCATTGTGATATTTGGGGGCCTCATAAGATTTATTCTTATTCTGGAACTCGTTATTTTTTGACAATTGTGGATGATTTTTCTTGTTATACTCGGATCCATCTCATGTATCAAAAATTTGAAACCCAGGCTATCATTAACAATTTCTTTGCTTGGGTCAGAACACAACACAATCTTTCAATTAAAACCTTAAGATCTGACAATTTCATCTCTTTACAAACAATCCTCAATGAAAATGACACCACCTTCCATCGATTTTGCACTTACACACCACAACAAAATGGCGTAGTTAAGCGCAAGCATCGTCATCTTTTAAATGGCGCATGAGCAATTAGTTTTAGTTTCCAAGCACATCTCCCCTTGAAATTTCGGGGGGAACATATCAAAATGGTCTACTACCTCATCAATCTCTTACCCACACTACTCTAATCCAACCAAACGCCATATGAATGAACTGCCTATATTTTGTCACTCAACTACAACCCACTCACAAATTTGATGCTCAGGAGGGAAGATGTGTTTTCGTTGGGTATCCACCGGGACAAAAGGGATACTTAGTCTACGATTTGGTTAAAAAACACTCCTCACCTCCCGAGATCTCATATTTCATGAAAACATATTTCCATGTTCCAACATTCCTTACAATGACCAACATGACACACTAACCTTGCCATAACCCATAGACATCAATATAGAAGAGCCCTTAGTCCAACCTTTTGCACCAAACATCGACTTACAACCTACACAGCCATGAGATAACTCCTCTCAACTCGAACCAGCACAGTTATCCAACACAGAACCTATTGGACGTCCGGATACTCCACATCGGACACCTGGACCCTCGACCGGAATAAAACCTATACCTTGACATTCCAGTAAGAAAACCTATACACCAGCTCGACTTCGAGATTACTATATCAACCATTCTCTACCCGCTCAGGAATCATCTCTTCCCGTTAAATCCAGCACCTATTTCAAGGTAAGTGTCATATGCTAACTTTTCTCATGGTCATCGTGCTTTCACATCTGCCATTTTTTACTTGGTCAAACCAGACAATATGAGCAGGCTTGTAAGGACCCAAAATTGGTCGAGGCAATGAAGGCTGAAATTGATGCACTTGAATCAAACAAGACTTGGTCCATAGTTCATCTTCCTTCGGGTCACCGCCCCATTGGATGTAAATGGGTGTTCAAAATCAAACATAATTCCAGTGGCACTGTTGAAAGATATAAAGCCTGCCTCACTACCAAAGGCTTCACCCAACAAGAGGGTATTGATTACACAGAGACATTTGTCCTCGTTGCCAAACTTACGACTCTCCGATGCCTTCTTGCTATTGCCTCAGTCCATGGATGGAATCTTCATCAAATGGATGTCCAAAATGCCTTTTTACATGGGAAAATTACTGAGGAAGTCTACATGCATCTTCCACCCGATTTTTGACGACAGGGGAAGTCACCATTTGTATGTTGACTTCACAAATCCTTGTATGTGTTGAAATAAGCCTCACGGTCATAGTTCCACTAATTTCTCTCTACCGTCTGCAAATTCAGCTTTCAGCAGTCACGGACTGACTACTCTCTTTTCACAAAGGTTTGTGGAGACTCATTTACAGCTATTCTTCTGTATGTTGATGGTATGATTATAACAGGAAATGATCAAAGGGTCATTGACAATGTAAAGAACTTCATTGTATCTTGCTTCAAGTTAAAGGACCTCCGATTGTTGAAATATTTCCTTGGGGTTGAAATAGCCTGATCTAAAATGGGAATATCCATCAACCAATGGAAGTACACTCTTGATATCCTTCAAGAAGTTGGGCTACTTGAGACAAAACCTACCAAATTTCTTATGGAACAATATCTGAAGCTTACTTCTACTGATGGCGATTTACTCAAAGACCCAACACATTATCAACGATTGGTCAGAAAATTGATTTACTTGACCATCATGAGGCCAGAAATCTGATTTTTAGTCAACACTCTTAGCCAATTCAAGCAAGAGCCTAGAAGACCTCATCTTGA